CTGACTTCTCTTAGATGCACTGAGGCTGCAGCTCACATACACCTCTGCCTACTGGACCTACCTCCTCCTGCTGCTCAAGAGTGTGGTCTACTTGGCCATCATCACCTTCTGTCTGCTTAGAAGAACAGCTGCTGGTGGCAATGGGAAGAGCTCCTAATAGATGTTGGCACAACACAGTCATCTTATCTTCATAGCTTATTGTCTTGAAAAGTGTCTGCTTAGGACCTGGTTGGACTTGTCACTGGGTTCAGGCTTCTTCAATTTTCACAAGTATTATTCTGTCATTGTTGCATAAAGGTTTTTCAAACCAGTGAGCAAACCAGTGAGCAAACTTCACATTCTAATAAGAAGCCCATGGTGACCTGTAACCTCAGTGTACCCAAAGTCTCCATTAGGCATTCCAGCCAGCCCAAATCATCAAAGCCTTGGTGGGGACAGCATGCAGTTTCTAGTCACAGTGTTTAGGTGTGTACAGTGATGGCAGAGAATGGGAGAGCAGTGACTGAGATTGGGGGTCTCTGATGACTTCATGATTGTGCCATGCTACTGCCTGAGAATGTTTCTTTGCAAGAGCACAGGATGTCTAGCTACTATGGTAATGCCCCTCCCAAAGAGACTCTGTGTAATAGTCTTATCAGATTTGACCTTGATCTCAGGCATAGAGGATCCCAGGGATAGAGGAATTATCATGGAAGACAACCACAATGTTTCACTATCTCTGCTACACCTAAGCCTTCCCCCTTAACAGCAACTTTAAACCATGGCCCTACTTGAGTGCTATACAAAGCTCCTAACATTTCACATTGCAACTGTTGAAAAGCTACATAGATGTTTGTAATCCTGTAACTTTCTTGAGCATAAAAAATAATGCTTGTATAGTCTTTAACTGGATAATGTGGCATATATAATTAAAGATTGTTGGCGTAACTCTTCAGACACTGCTTCTTCATCAGAGAGCAGCTCTCCATCTAAACCCAGATATCTTCATATCTGTGTGTGTGTCATTTTTCTAATCACCCATTGCCCCAGGCCAGTATCACAAATTTGGTTGTGCTGGTCACAGCACTTAGGGTTTTGTATCCTGAAACTACTAAAAGCCTTCCATTTTATACATTCAAAAGCAGCCTTCTTTGGAACTTGGCTTCTTTGCTTCTTTTTCATAATAGACACAATGAATATCAACAATTTATTTGGAATCATGTGTACTTTAAATTAATGAAACTGAATTGAATGTCAAAAGTGAGAAGCAGCATGACAACACCACTCTACTTTAGAAATAGTGGGGACCACACTCACATACAGATCACTGTTCTTACTTCTCTATAGAGAAGATGAGTGAAATGAAGCAGGGACATAGCTTTTACCAGGAACCAGGCATTCCATTAACCTTCTATGAGCCCTTTAAGGTAGGAACAATTATGATGTATAGTTTATAGATTGGAAAATATAAATTTTCCCTTATGATCACTATTTTTGAGGTGATGCTCATAATTTAAAGCCAGAGAGACCCAGAGTCTGTGTATGTACACATATGTAATTGATACAATATCATATATTTCTGTCTCCCATTTTTTGTCACCCATTTTTAATATAACAAAACAATACAATATCAAATGCATGCATCCCTTCTTTGGAGGATCTCACTCATTGGAGGATCCCTTACTAAAGGCATCCTCCAATGAGTGAGAGGACTTCCTTAAGGGTTTGAGTATATTTGTGTTTTCTCTTCTTATGTGTATCATGCAGCTGTTTTGTCACTAATTTCTAAATTGTCTTCTTCTTTGAATAAAACTGTGACCTACTCTGAAATTAACATAATTTCTCCCTTTGTTATAGATGGAATAGAATTTCTGCTTCCCTTTTAAGTGTACATTTGCAACTGCTTCTTTTGGGAAGTGGGCTTTGAGCCTTAGATGCTCTCTCTGCATATAGATAATGTTTTGACTTCCCAGCTCCTTTCATACACACACACACACACACACACACACACACACACACACACACACACATGTATGTATGTGAATGCATATATATTCGTGTTTCACCTTCTTACATAAAGTTAGTATACAATGTACATTATTCTGCACTCCTTTTTATTTATAAATCTGAAATCTCTTTTGAGATCAGTGCATAGGGATGTTTAGAGAGCCACAGGTATTTGCCTTAAAATATTAAATCTTATCTGTTCTCTCTGATAGTCTCCTGGTTGTTTCAATATATTCTCATAGTAAATAAACAGTTTATTTCCATCTGCACATATGTACACTGGTAATTTTTATAGGAAATGCCAACCTGCCCTCCATGGAGAGCCCCACATGGCTCTCCTATCCCCATCCATATGAATTTATGAGTGTGCTGCAAAACATCAGGATTTTGCTAATCTGACAGGTGAAAACTAGGACCTTGTAGTTTTGGGTTTTTTTTTTAACAGTAAAGCTCATGTATTTCACCAGCTGGAATATTCAGAAAGTCAACAGGTTTTTTTCTTCAGGAGAGGACCTTGTAGTTTTAATTGCTTTTCTCGTTCTTGTTATGAGTGAAGATTAACATCTTTTTTATATGTTTAAGATCTATTTATATCTCTTTGCAACATTTGCTCTGGTCCTTTGACAATTGTTTGCTGTTAATAATAACAGTAAGACTTATGACTCTAGTTTGCTGAGTCTCTCTGCATATCTATAAGACATGATACAAAGAGTAGTATTTAATGTATGGAAGTTGGGTGAAAAATTAATTCATATTTTTCTATTTTCTTTGATGAATCATTTGAAAGTCAGAAACTTCTATAAATTTGAATTAAAACAACTTTATATTTAATGTTGGAAATGTTTTGCTCATCTACAATCAGCTTCACTTTCTGTGAGATGCATTATTTG